CGCACTAGCTTAATCCGGCACTGCTAACACATCAGTGCGTTTGTTCATCATGTGACGACTTCATACATTGGCCGTGTCGGATGGTGAACAGGCACGCGTTTTACGCCTGCGATCTGACCCAAAAGTGTATGATGAAGCGCGTCTTTTCTCCATTGTATTTCTCATAACATAATCAATTTCACGCGATCTTGTTCTCGCGTTGTTGCAGTGCTCTAGCGTGATGTTATTCATTTCTAGGCGTTTTACCCTCTCTGGTGGAACTTTCATGAGTTCTTCAGAGCCATTCAGTGGTAGCAGAATACGTGTTCATATTGGAGGAATCTGATGAGCTATGAAGCTTTTTTCCACAGATGTCCAATATAGTTGTTCTAAGTCGCTAACTGTTGTTCGTTAAGGGGTCGTCCATAAATGACGTCACGCGATTTTTGACCCCCCCCCTCTTCGTCACACGGCGCCAAATAAAGTCAGACCCCCCTTCAAATATGACGTCACAAAGTCAAGATAATTAAGTAGAACGTGTTGTGAATATTTATTGAAAGTTGCGCATTTTTACGTGACGTCACATTTCTCAAACCCCCCCCCCTTCGCCACACATCGTCACAAATGTCTGAACCCCCCCCCCCCAGGTGCGTGACGTCATTTGTGGACGGCCCCTAACCGCATGTAAGTATAGCGGTAAGCCTACAGAGATGTGTCCTACGCCTACGCATAACAAGACCGGAGATTGCACGATGCATATTATCTAAGGACAACATTACAGGGAGCACTTCTTTCACCGTCGTTCAATATGTCTAAAATAAATCCAAGTTGTGCAACGAATATGGATATTAATCTTTAGATCGGTGTTGATGAACCTTCAGTTTGGTGTTGATGGACCTTCAGTTCGGTGTTGATGAATCTTCAATTCAGTGTTGATGAACCTTCAGTTCGGTGTTGATGAACCTTCAGTTCAGTGTTGATGAACCTTCAGTTTTGTGCTGATGGACCTTCAGTTCGGTGTTGATGAATCTTCAATTCAGTGTTGATGAACCTTCAGTTCGGTGTTGATGAACCTTCAGTTCAGTGTTGATGAACCTTCAGTTCAGTGTTGATGAACCTTCAGTTCGGTGTTGATGAACCTTCAGTTCAGTGTTGATGAACTTTCAGTTCAGTGTTGATGCTCTTCAGTTCGGTGTTGATAAATCTTCAGTTCCGTGCTGATGAACCTTCAGTTAAGTGTTGATGAATCGTCAGTTCAGTGTTGATTAATCTTCAGTTCGGTGTTGATGAATCTTCAGTTCAGTGTTGATGAATCTTCAGTTCGGTGTTGATGAATCTTCACTTCAGTGTTGATGAATCTTCAGTTCGGTGTTGATGAATCTTCAGTTCGGTGTTGATGGACCTTCAGTTCAGTGTTGATGAATCTTCAGTTTGGTGTTGATGAACCTTCAGATCAGTGCTGATGAATTTTCAGTTCAGTGTTGATTAACCTTCAATTCAGTGTTGATGAACCTTCAGATCAGTGCTGATGAATCTTCAGTTCAGTGTTGATCAACCTTCAATTCAGTGTTGATGAACCTTCAGATCAGTGCTGATGAACCTTCAGATCAGTGCTGATGAATCTTCAGTTCAGTGTTGATCAACCTTCAATTCAGTGTTGATGAACCTTCAGATCAGTGCTGATGAATCTTCAGTTCAGTGTTAATCAACCTTCAATTCAGTGTTGATGAACCTTCAGATCAGTGCTGATGAACCTTCAGATCAGTGCTGATGAATCTTCAGTTCAGTGTTGATCAACCTTCAATTCAGTGTTGATGAATCTTCACTTCAGTGTTGATGAACCTTCAGTTCAGTGTTGATGAACCTTCAGTTCGGTGTTGATGAATCGTCAGTTCGGTGTTGATGCACCTTCAGTTCAGTGTTGATCAACCTTCAGTTCAGTGTTGATCAACCTTTAATTCAGTGTTTATGAATCTTCACTTCAATGTTGATGACTCTTCAGATCGGTGTTGAGGAACCTTACAAGAAGAAAACGCTTCCCTCCCAGCTACAACTTTCACACTCGATACGCCCAGTGTCCTCCGCCTGTTAGCTGGCTGTCCCACGTCAGTGTCCAGAGTTTATTCATTGCAACAACAACAACAAAAACACATGAAAGTCACTTCAAAGGCTTTTTGTTTGTTTCTTTTTTTATCACAAAGCCTCAAACTTGTATCGGACAGTCCTGTCCAAATAGCCTCGGGCATACAATTACATGAAATACAAGGGCCAATTGGATTTCGTGTCTGTTTGTTTAACAGTCTCTGAGTAACAGAATGCGAGATTACAGCAGCGCGGTGGCTATGCTGCGCGGGCCCTATAATCCAGCACTGCGGAGGCAGTAGCGAGGCTTGCCGGGTCGCACAGATGTTGTTGTGGAACTGCCTTCCCGTAGGCGTCGACGATGCAAAGCCATACCCTGGCTCGCCAGGAGAAGGCGGTGCAACAGTAGACGTGAACTCCACTTGTTCTGCCTCTACGGGATACAATGTTGTCTCCTCGCACGTGTGCGTTTTCTCCGGGTCCTCCGATTTCCTCCCACGTTAATAAGCACTCAATTTTTTGGCCGATATATAGAGGACCGCAGAGCTTGGGCAATCGTTGGCGCCTGCTCACCGCGTGGCCGCTGCCTTCCCGCTCGCCCGTGGTTTTTCGCGCCTCTGAGTCATTCTCTCTTTAGGAGAGCGAGCGAGCGAGCGAGCGCCGCGGGGTGGCGGCACGTTGCATGTCGATATTATCGCCACTATTACAGCTCATAATGACGACAGCTTCAGGGCGCTGACCACCAGGGTGCTGTTATATACTCCTTAAAGTGGAAAAGTCGGCAAACGAAACTCAATATGTTCGCTAGATGCCTCTGTATATGCCTTCTAAAGTCTTCAGAAATTCCACTCTTGTCTTGCTCACGCTATCGCTGGCAGAAGCACCCTCCACTAGATGGGGGTCTTGAGAGTGCATCTCTAGGGGGTTTTGGCCTACTCGTCCACGGTGGAAGAGGTGGAAGTACCCACACTCTACGCCACTGACACGGGACTCACTCTCAGTGTGCCCAATTATACTGCTGGGTGGACAAATGTAGGATTTAAAAACAGTGGATGGATGTCATGATTCTTAATGCACACGTGTAACTAGCTGCTGAATCTGAATCGTGTCCCTCTCCCCAGATAGTCGCTGAATTATAATGATGTACAAATGTAAATGGCACACAGCATTCTCTCTCGTAGAGACAGAGCAACTCAAAGGCACGCACTAACAATTGTCCAAGCTCTGCCGTCCACTATAAATGAAGGTATTATACACCAATTACTGACTGTTTACATGTGGGAGGAAATAGGAGCACCTGGAAAAACTCCACACGTGCGAGGGGACAACGCTCTATCCCATTCAGATGGAACAGGTGGGAGTTCACATCTTTGCTGTACTGCCTCCTCCTGACCACCCAGGGTATGACGCCTCCTTAACGCTCACGGTAAGGGAGTTGAGCAACATTTGTATGGTGAAACACCAACACTCGCAGCCTCCACAGTGCTGGATGACAAGCCACGTGCAGCATAGCCACCACCACGGCCCGGATTTGTCGCTCGTCGCTTTTGACAATATTTTTTTACCTCAGAAAATGCAAAAGTTCACCGTAGATCTGGTCACAGAATCGTTAAATCTGCAACAATACTTGGCAGACGATGGAGAAAAGGGTACAGACTGGGGTATTGGTACCACCCGGAATGGAAAATGGTAACAATGCTTTTTAACCATTGTGTTTCTATACAACGAATATGTATCATATCAAGTTCAAGGTGGTAGTTTTCAATGGTACAAAACAAATGCGCTTTGAAAGCACCACGGAATGCGAGAATAAAGAGTGTCCATGAAGCAGGATAAGGGTGTTGCTCACGGTACATACTGACGATGATGGACACTGCAGAATCAGAATCTTTATTTATACCGGAGGAATCCGATGTGCTATGAAGCTCTTTTTTTACAGATATCCATTTAAGGGCAGAACGTTACAACAAACAATACAAAGACATGATAGGAGTTCAAAGTATCAGAAAGTTGAATGAAATCACTTAAAAATTACGCAAATAAAACTAAATTTGTTTGCTCTTATCAGGAAAAAGGCCACTATTGCTATTAGCGTCTTGTTTTAGAAGGAGGTGTCGTAAATGATAGCTCAACGAAGTGGCTTATCATGCACATTCTCAAGTGCTTTGATGCTTAATGTGTGTACAACAAACACGGAACCACAGACATAACAACAATACAACAACATGATAGGAGTGCAAAGTATAGGAAAGGTAAACCAATCACTTAAATAATATATATGAATAAAACGAAACAGTTTAACACGTATGCTTTCGCGACCAACATTATTCATAATCGAGGCTTTTGGGGTCGATCGCATTAATATAAATGCGTCGTTACACCCGCCACAAAATTTAAAAATCGTGTTTTTTTATATTTTACCACGGTAACAATTTCTCCCACATGGTGGTAACCATTTCGATTTAAAGCTTTCGTGACTGCAAGGATTCATCTTCTTTGGTTCTTTCGGTAAAGTCACGTAGAATGGATGTGTAGGCTTTGACTTTAACGTAGCTATTTCTGTGACCAGTCACAAGCTAATCCCTCAACTGTTTCAATGCTAAATTCTCCTGTTTGATATGTAAACCCCTTTGTCAAGGTGCCTCACTTCTCTCAACCAGCTTAAAAGATGCTGCCGAATCTTAGCAGCGTTCATTGTGGCTCTGTCGTCCCGACAGGTTTGTTCCTTTCACCTGAAGAAGGCCACGTGCGTTGTGGCCGAAACGTCGTGAGAATTTTATTGTTTCATTTTATTATTTCATTCTCATTCTACGTGACTTTACCGAAAGAACCAAAGAAGATGGTGCTAACCAGCCCAGAGTCAGCCCACCCGTCACTCGTCGCGCACGGGGGCTGACTTTGGGCCAAGCGAGACCGCACGCTGGCTTCTTGTGGCGTACCGGGGAAGCCGTCGTGGTAGGGCAGCCCGAGGGAGGCGGCCGGGTGTTGGGTGGGCAGCACGTAGTGGGGGTCCGGGAGACCCCTTGCCCGTGGCCCCACTCCGGGCAGCAGGCGCACGGGGCAGCCCGCTGGGCCCGGCCCGGGGAACATGCTCGGGCACACGCGTTTGCCCGGGGCGCTGCATCCATCTGCGGAAACAAAACAAACAAAAAACACAATGGCAAAGATCCCCCGTATAGCCTTTAACACGGTGGCTAGCAGATGGCAACTCCCTCGCCACGGGATACAGAAGGCCGTGGGTTCGATCCCGACCCTGACGCCGGCTGTATATTTGGAGTTTGTGTGTCCTCTCTCACACCGTGGTCGCGTGGATTTGTCTCCGGGGCCTCCGGTTGAAACCCCCCACATTCAGCATCAATGCACCATGAGAGTCGTTGGCTGCTAGAAATGTGCACGTCATGATACGCCACTTCGATGAGCTGTCATTTGTGGCCAGGTCGCTTCTGAAAATAACGACATAGCTCAGTGGGCCTTACCTGATGTGATCCAAAATAGTTTAGCTTAAGTGCTGTTAGCGAGCACCTATTAAGGTCGGCGCGGCACACGAGGGGGTGGGTGGTCAGCACCACGCCCGACCGTCTTTTGTCTCTCTAGTGGCGATGTTTACTACACACCGCACCAGGTACTCATTTGAGGCTTAGTTGACCTAGGGGACAATTAACTATGTCTTGATAGTGGCATTTTAGTGGCATTGTCTTTCTGCTGTTCGCCTTTTGGCGTCCTCTGGTCTAACACTGTTTGAGACTAGGCTCTAAAGAAAGCTGTCGCTGGTGTGGACCAATCAGTTTCAAAGACAATGCATCATATACTGTCAGAGCATGTTTTTTTGTTTGCATATTCACAGGTATATGTGGTTAATGCAGACATGATTCCTTGCAGAAGGTTTCAGTTTGGTGTTTTAACATCTTAACACCTCCTGTTTTATTGCCAGAAAAAAGGGGAAAACCTATCCTTATACTATCAATTCCAGTTCAATGATTCTGCACTTGCTCTATTACTATAGTACTATACCGCATTCAACTTTTATGAACGGCTGCGTGTTTAAGGTTAGCGATTTGTCGTATTATCTGGCTGTATAGCAAATGAAAAAATACAATGACTTTACTATGCAAGTAAAAAAAGTGTACGTGTTTATTTATTTATTTATGGCCCCTTTGTAATATAAGCAACAGGCCCCGCACTCGCTTAATCCGGCACTGGACCGAGGGGAGATGTAGCGACGTGTGGGGATTTAAACCACGTGTCCCCCCCGCCACTCCACGCACGCTCGTTGTCTGGACCGCCTGATAGAGCGTTCGCTGTTCGCGAGCACCTTTTGAGGATACGTTGTCGCACGAAGTGGTGGTGGAGGCGCACCTTACCCCACACCCGGTCGGCTTTGTATCCCTGACATAGTACCGCATTACTGATCATGATGGCGTGACTAACCAGCTCCTAATTTTAGGCGAAGCAAACTTATTAGTGAGTCAAACCAGAGCCAGGTTTGTATTACAATTATTCGTCACCGATGTTGCCCGTGAGTCGGATTCAAACTCGGGACGCCGGGTTCGCATGGCCTTCGCATGGCCTTAACAGACTGTTGGGGCAAGTGCTGTCAGTGAACACCTATAAAGGCCGGCACGACACACGAGGGGGGGTGGGTGGCCAACACCACGCCCGGCTGCCTTTGTCTCCCGAGTAGAGATGTTCACACAACGCACCGGGTAGTTATTTGAGGCTGAGTCGACCTAAAGGAGGCCCAGGACCGGTTCAGATAATCGTCACCAGTGTTGGCCGTGAACGGGAATCGAACCCGGGTCGCCAGGTTTGTAGCGCAGCGCAATAACCGCTAGGCCACCTTTCCCTGGCCAAAGAACGCTCGTGAACACACATCCACCCACACTGGACGACTAAATAATTACGAGATTAGAAAAAAATGTGACAAATAATTGACAGTTAAATAATTATAAACTATTATTTTGTATTCATCAATGAACTATTTGTTATGAAACTATAAACTATTTTTTTTTTTACCAGGTAAGGCCCACTGAGCAATATAGATCTTTTTCAGAAGCGACCTGGTCACAAATGATAGCTCAACGAAGTGGCTTATCATAGGGAAATTTATAGCCGCCAAATAGTGTAAACACACGTTGATTGTAAATGTGGAGAGAAAAAAACCGGAGGACCAGGAGAAAAATCCACGCGACCACGGGAAGAGAGACACGCAAACTCACAATATACACGGGTCAGGGTCGGGATCGAAGCCACGACTTCCTGCATACCAGGCACCCCCAACACACGCATACAGGCATTGCTTTTAAATTACAGATGTTCATTAAAATATAACATTACATAGCTCACATTGCCATTTAAACACTACATAGCGCATTCATGCTTCGGAGGTGTTTATTTTAGTGTTATCAATTCATCAGTTATATGCCCCTTTTCGCCCTTATTCCAACACGTGCAGCTCGTTGAGATTAGTTGCCGATTAGAGTCGAGGTGAGTGCTGCAGTGGTTGCGATGGTGAGCAACGCGCTTGACTTGTTATATCAAGGTCGTCGGTTCGATCGCATTGAACAGACGATTGGGAGCAAGTGCTGCTCGCGAGCACCAATGAAGGCCGGCACGGCACACGACGGGGTGGGTGGCCAGCACCACGCCATGCCGCCTTTGTATCCCCACTGCTAATGTGGCTGCAGGTGCACACACACACCGCACGTAATGTTTAAAGTGACGTGAAATGTTTGGAGGAAGGAGCAGTGGCGCAATGATTTAATTATAATATATATTGGGGGGGGGGGACATATCCCCCCCCCCCAATATTCAAATATGCTCAAAATGCCCCCCCCCCCAATATATTGCTATAAAATAGATGTCTGTTTATATGATTGTGGTTATGGTTGTACTTTATAATCCCTAATCTCTGCCATTACATACAGTTAAGCAAGAAAAGGTAAAAAATAAAAAAAAAACAGAGCAATGTAATACAATACACTATTAGACATTATTGTAAAAAAAAAAATGAAAAGTCCATTCTATGTGTTAGTGAATTGTGTAATATTTTAGGCAGGAAATTCGTTTTCAAATTTTTTTCTGGGGACGGACCCCCATACCCCCTGGAAGATTTGGTCCCCCTAATGTTGACTCCATGGCTACGGCCTTGATTTGCACGATGCGTGCTATGAAGCCGGGCGGCCTGAGTTCGACTCTCGTGTCGCGGCTACCATCAGTGGTTGTGTGGTATCTGAGCCGGCCCTTGGCATCCCCTCTTCGCTAACCCGCACTGACCAAACGTGGTGAAGTATGGTCAACCACACCCCCACGTAAATCCAGCAGAGGGTTGAGAAAGGGCTTTAATGTTTTAATTAAATACCGTACGAATAGATATGTATTTATAAATAGTTCTGTAAACATTCAAAAGTTGTGTCCTTACCTCCTCTGTACAAGGTAGGTGTGGCGCAAATCCATCAAATCATCACATCCATATTCTGCTCTTGATGGACGATGTTGATGTGTATACAGCTTGTTTAAATTATTTCGCACCATACGTAGCTAACCGTGCTTATTGGAGGTGCGGGGGAAGGAACACAAACTAAACATGAAAAAAAAACTTTTCGAGATAAATTCGTTTTCATTCTAGATTAAAAGTGCATAGCTTCAGTGGCTTTCTAATATCGGAAGGAAGAGCATTCCAGACGGCCGCAGACGCGCATCTAAAAGCGGGCGATGTGGTGACCGTCTTTGTTCAATTGCTCGTCAAAAGCCGCTTCGAGGATGACCGGAGTTCGCTTGATGGGTTATGCTCCTAGACGATATCAGCAAGGTATCGTAGTTCATTTCCGGCAAGCACTTCACGTGTAATGAGTGCGACCTTATAAAAGAGCAACACCTGAAATTTTACATTGAGGCTGCTCAGCCAGATGATTGCGTCACGAGTAGCCAAGTGGAGCTTCGCTCTGACGATGCCACCTCCTTCTCCTCCTCCGTAATTTCTGAACCGGGCAATGAGTAGCCACTGACATGTATCAGCTCACAATACTTGTACCGAATTGTGTGTGTGTGTGTGTATAATCGATTCGTATATAGGTCGATCTCAGCCTCAAGTGAGTACCTGGTGCGGTGTATAAACATCGCCACTGGGGAGACAAAGGTTGGCTACGTACGGTGCGAGAGAAGTTTAACATATATACATACACAGACGGTCGGGCGTAGTGCTGGCCACCCACCTCGTTTACCGTAATGGCCTTCATAGGTGCTACTCGCTAATGGCACTTGCCCAAGGCCGTAATTATAATATATATTGGGGTGGAGGGGTACATCCTCCCCCCCCCAATATTCAAATATGCTCAAAATATCTCCCCCAAATATATTGCTATAAAAATAATAATTGCTATGTCATGTAAATAAAATAAAAAAAAAAATTGCTAAACCTTGGCCACAATATCTGGACTTGTCTTCATATAAATCAATGCATAGATTTATGTTTAAATGATTGTGATTAAACTGATTATGTACTTTATGAATCCCTAATCTTTGCCATTAAATACAATGAAACAAGAAATGGTAAAAAAGTAAAAACAGAGCAATGTAATACAATACACTATTAGACATTATTGTAAAAAATAAATTAAAAGTCCATCCCATGTGTTCGTGATTTTTTTAAATATTTTAGGCAGGAAATTCGTTTTCAAATTTACACATTTTTCTGGGTTGGGACCCCCAGACACCCTGGAAGATTTGGTCCCCCCCAATGTTGACTCCATGGCTACGGCCTTGCACTTGCCCCATCAGTCTGTGAATGCTATAGGGGAGCTCTTTGTCTTTGATTCGAATATACGTCACGTCACCCACTTGCACCACTGCTTTTTGTGTGAACTTCGTTGTCCTTCCCCCCGCACCTGCGATTAAAACACGGTTGGCTACGTACGGTGCGAAACAAGTTCAAGATACACGTGTTCAGCCTTGTCCATTACCCCTTCGAAGGTTGATGCAGATACTATCAGGTAATATTAATTAAACTGTAGTGTGGGTACTTAAGACCTGTTTGCGATTTTAAGACACTCCGTGCAAATGGCGCTTTGAGAACGAGACAGTATGTTTTATTATATATTGGTGTAGGCTTACAGTCAGAATGTCTATACGC